TTATATACATACACATATTTACATTTATATTTTAAATGTTAACAATTAAAAATTTAAACACATTAAAGTTAATATTTTAATATTATTACAATAGTTTCAGTTAAAATGTAATAATTTTCTACCAAAGCATAAATGATATATTGCAGTTATTAATCGCTGAGATGGAAAGCTACTGTAAATATGCTATAGGTTACGAAAAGGTTATCTTGCAACAGTATGTCGACAGATATGCGATGTTTTACGCTGCGACTGCAATGTGGTTTTATTTAACAGCGTTTGCTGTTATTTGCAGTCCACCATTTTTATCTGAACCTTTTCCAACGTATGCTAAATATCCATTCAACGTAAATTATCAACCATTACGAATGATCATTTACGTACAGCAGAGTTCTGTTGGCATGCAGATGGCATCAATCTTATGTATCAATGTTCTTATTGCACTTTTACTTTGGTTTGCTTCAGCTAGATTTGATATGTTGTGCTATGAATTACGAATGATATCAAATGTTTACGAACTGACACAGTGTATTCGGAAGCACCAACAAGTACTACGGTACAATTATATATCTAAATAATACAATTAGTTCTTAATTTTATATTGATCAACTTTGTCAATAAGAATCTTAAGAATGCAGAAGAGAAATATATTTTTTTGAAAAATAAAAATTATTTATATTTTATATTGATAAGATTATATCCAACTTATGATTATAAAATATGAACGTTATATGAATTTACAGATATGCAAATGATGTAACTCACTCAGTTCGATTTTTGGTTCTCACAATAGTTGGCGGTAGTGCAGCGGCAATATTATTCGTCGGTCTCACTCTTGTCAGTGTAAGTATTGCTATCAAACAAATAAAATAAAAGTTAACTCAATTGTTTTATTCTCCCCTTTTTACTTATTTGAAATAATATTATCATAGTTACTCTTAGTCATTCTAATTATTATGTAATATATATCAAGTTTAAATCCACTTTTTTTAACTGTAAATTACTTAACAAAATTTGAGTCAAATATTCTTTAAGAAAATTGGAAAACATTTTTTTTCATTTTTTTAACAATTCTCAATTTTTAATATTGTGGCAACTAAGTTTCAAGATAAGATTCTATTTCTGTTGTATAAAAGATTGCATACAGAAATACTTTGTATATTATTATATTAAAATAATGTGACGTTATTATAAATTGATGTTACCTATTACTTATCAACAGCAACAACCATTAATTATCAAAATGCAATTTTGTGTGCTAATTTTCACCCGTCTTTCCCAAGTGTTTATGTGTTGCTGGCCTGCTAACAATCTACTGGTTGCAGTATGT